GCACGTTGGGCGCTGCGACTTCAGGAATACGACTTTACGGTGTCGTACAAGAGTGGCCGTCGTTACGCTCACGCAGAATGCCTCTCCCGGATTCCCCTTGTGACTACCGACTGCAATGCTGAGAATTTTGACGACTGCCTTGCCGCTGTTACAAGCACGTTCCCCAACGCGACTGACTTCCAGAGAGAACAACGTAAGGATCTCAATCTGGATCCTCATTTTGCCGCCGCACATGCCTCCCTACACAGCGGTCGCTTCACGGTCCGAGACAAGTTGCTCTATAAAACTAACTACTCCAGACATGGAGCACGTTTTCTTCTAGTTCTTCCCGAGAGCCTTCGCTCCGATGTTCTGCGTGCTATGCATGACTATGCGACATCTGGTCATTTCGGCTTCATACGAACGCTAAACCACACGCAGGAACGCTTTTACTGGCCCAAGTTGTACGAAACAACGAAACGTTACGTCGTCAGCTGCGAGACGTGACAGCGTCACAAGTGCCCGGCCAATGCTACACCAGGTCCCCTTCAGCCAATAACACCACCCAGCCTGCCTTTTCATTTCTGGGGTTTAACGTCCCAAAACCACTATATGACTATAAGAGACGCTGTAGTGGAGGGCTCCGGAAATTTAGACCACCTGGGGTTCTTTAACGTGCACCCAAATCTGAGTACACGGGCCTAAAACATTTCCGCCTCCATCGGAAATGCAGCCGCCACAGCCGGGATTTGATCCCGCGACCTGCGGGTCAGCAGCCGAGTACCTTAGCCACTAGACCACCGTGGCGGGGCCCAGCACGCCTTTTGAACAAGTAGGAATTGACATTATGGGTTCATTTTCGTTATCTAACAATAAAAACTGTTGGATAATCGTCTGTGTAGATCATCTTACGCGGTATGTCGAAACCGCAGCCATTCTTTCTTCTACCGCTGCATCCGTGGCCGTCTTCCTGCTCCACTCCGTGGCCCTTCGCCATGGCCCACCGCGTGTTATTATCAGTGACTGTGGCCGTCAATTCACTGCTGATGCCATTGAAGAATTACTACGCATGTGCGCGACACAGTTCCGTCAATACACACCGTATCACCCGCAGACGAATGGCCTCCTTGAACGGACAAACAGAACGCTGACCAATGTGCTTGCAATGGACGTTTCTTCCCATCACAAGAACTGTGATGAAGTGCTGCCTTTTATCACGTACGCGTACAACACGGCAAAACATGAAACAACAAACTTCAGTCCATTTTATCTGTTGTACGCCAGGTTGCCACTAAGCTCTCTAGACACTTTCTTACCCTTTATTCTACACAATGACGACTCTGTACCGGACACCCTGTGCCTCGCGGAAGAAGCCCGTTGAATCGCTCGTGTTCGAACTCTGGCCTCTCAACGTCGTTCGAAGGAACGTTACGACGACCGTCACGAACCGGTACTATTCGAAAAAGGTGACTTGGTGTTGCTTTGGACACCGCAACCCAAGCGTGGATTGTGTCAAAAGCTGCTGTCGCGATATTCAGGCCCATTTGTAGTTTTGGAGCGTCTTAGCCAGCTCACTTACGTAATAGCTCGTCTTTTGTCAATGGTCGACGATCGAGCAGAACACAGCTCACTCACATTGCTCGCCTGAAACTTTTCTACTCTACTTGTGCATCATAACTCGCCCTACTGGCTTCGTCTCCTTGCGGGGGAATGTAACGGGCTAGTAAAAGGCAGAGAAGAGAAGGAGAGGAAGACGAAGAGTCTTGGCAAGATCGCAGTGCGCTGCCGCAAACGACCATCGCTCACCTCTTGTAAATAAAGCCATTTCATCACAGCTCACTCTAACAATATATATATATATATATATATATATATATATATATATATATATATATATATATATATATATTATATATATATAAGGCTTATATGCAGAAGGATAATTTCGGGGTTCCCACCGCAAGGTTATAAGTATAAAAGTAGATGCACTTGCACATAACAACTTGTTTATTCAGCCGACGTTTCGTCGGGAACCCCGTTTTTTTAAAACACACACACACACACACACATATATATATATATATATATATATATATATATATATATATATATATATATATATATATATTTATATATATACATTAAAATGGACAATTGCTCCTGGACGACTACCTGTATATATGGTGCTAAAGCAGATAGCACACCTTCGAAGATATAGGGCACGAGGGACAACTGGCGTGTGACCTCTTTTTGTAGAAATTGCTTCATCTCGAGAAGCTAAGTAGTGTAGTGTACAGCAATGCCAGCCAACGTTAAAGCGGCGATGGTTCACATGGCACGCTGGCACGAGTGGTGTCAGGCTGTTTCCAGAGCTCGTCATAGCTCTGACAATGTTGGATCACTTCCGCTACCGTTTGCGTGCTCCTAGTGACAAACATCTGAAATGCATCGTCAGTCACGCCTTTCAAGATGCGTTTGATCTTGTTGGCTTCAGTCATGGCTGAGTTGACACGCCGGCAAAGGTCGACCGCATCTTCGTATAACTGGTGTAATTTCCACCATTCTGCTTAGCTTGAGTGCGCAAGTGCTGTTCGACCCGTAGTTTGCGAAGCGCTGGACGGCCAAACAAGTCGGCAAACGCCACTCGGATGGCTGACCAGTTGAGAAGGTCCATCTCGTGATTGCGGTTCCACAGACCGGCGACGTTGGTCAAAGAAAAGTAGACAACGGCAATGTTGTGCGCATCGACCCGCTCGTTGTGCTTGCTTGCTCACCCAGTCGTATTCGTCGAGCCAGTTTTCCACGACTTTGTCATCGGTTCTACTTAAGGTAGGTGGATCGCGTTGCCGAAAGGCGCCGAGACAGAAGAGCGGCAGTAGTTGAAGCCGAGGCGGCCGCCTGCGGATCGTCGTGCGTGGACATAGTAGCAACTGGAGGCCTCGTACGGTTCCGCAATTCCCGGAAAATGCGTTACCCAGCACCTCCACCAATGAAAATGAAAGTGAGGCGTTGAGGAGTTGCTCTCTTTTATATAACAGAAGAGCTGTCACTACAAGCGATGTGCTAAATGGCAGACTGAGCGATATCCTCTGCCTTTTTTAGTAGCAATCACCTCCTTCTCTAATATATATATATATATATATATATATATATATATATATATATATATATATATATATATATATATATATATATATATATATACAGGCAGAGAGACAGACAGACAGACAGACAGACAGACAGATAGATAGATAGATAGATAGATAGATAGATAGATAGATAGATAGATAGATAGATAGATAGATAGATGGACAAGAAGTGCTGAGCCTTGTCCCCACTCGATAACGACGAGTTCATATGTGCCGCTGCTGGCGAGACGCAAATAAGCACACCATGCCAACGGGGCCCGTACACGCTACCAAACTTTTTTCTGGAAGGTGAAGCATGAGATATGGCACAACTTTTCACTTTACGGAACCAGTGTGCTAGTCGAGTAAGTTGGAATCTTACCATTTTTGGATGTCTTTTACAAGGACTTCCATCTATAAGCCACATATCCCATCGGTGATTAGCTGCACCAAACTGATATCCAGGCACAAAGCAGAATACCATGCATCCTTGGGTACTTATATTCTGCAAAGGAGAAATCACTACTTTATGAGACAAAAGTGCTGTAATTACCAACCTGCTTGCGCGTCACGAAGTAAACGATAGTGTCACTCACAACGAAGCAGACACAAAACTGCCTAGAGCATATCAGCAAAGTTTAATTGCTAGGTGCTTTATAATGCAATTTGTATCACAATGGAAAAGACAAGGAAAATGGTATTCATGGTATTTCTTTTTACTCTGCGGATGCCTAAAGCTGCATCGAAGTGAGCCAACCGGCATGCGCTGCGTCGTGCAATTTGCTGCGTCGTGCTGCGTCGTGCAATTTGCTGCGTCGGCATGCGCTGCGTCGTGCAACCGGCATGCGCTGCGTCGTGACACGCAATAATTCTACCATAGTAGGACGAGACTTCATTTTTTGATATTTCCACTTCTACTTCAGGAAAAAGAGGGCATGGGAAGAAAAAGCTGTCGTGAGCTTGACTAGGTTTCTAGCCGAATACAGTTCAGCAATCAGTGATGGTATACAAAAAGTGGTGTACATAAGTATAAATGCACAGAAAGCATATATTATTCTACACGGAATAGAAAAAAAGAAAAAAAAACATCAAAGATAAGTTCAAAGCTGACATGTTAGACACTAGCTCACCAAAAAAAGCACGAAGGGCAGACTTGCAACAATAAATGTCGAAATTATTTTGCGATAACAGGTTTCACACAAGGTGGTCTAAATTTCCGGAGCCCTCCACTACGGCGTCTCTCATAATCATATAGTGGTTTTGGGACGTTAAACCCCACATATCAATCAATCAGGTTTCACACAGAGGGCAAGGTTGTTCTTAGCATCTGGGCCCCGATTTTGTGTGCGGTGTTCTTTGGAAGCATTACCTGCAGTTGTTGTCAAGTACGCATTGACGCAAGTACGCATTTGACGACACTTGTCGAGTGTTGGAAACCACGAACTTTGCACTGGTAAGCAGATAGTAAACAGCAATGAAAAAAAAAACTAGAAAAAGTTGTAAGTGCTACGTTGTGATTGGAGGCATAGTAAGCTGTTGGGTAATCACTTAGTAAAGTTACAATAAGACGCACGAGACGCACAACAGACACATTCTGTTTGTATGGATTTTGCTTATTCATTTGTGACGTCACACGTGCTATGCCATTATCGTGCTCTAAAACCCACCCAGAGGAAAAGCATTGTCGCAGGCTTCGTGAGCGGTGAGCCAAGCTCAGCTCAGCAGCAAGAAGCAAGACGCATGCTAAACCTACTGATTTCCTTATTGTGGAAAAAATTTCGCATGACCAGAATATTGACTATCTATTATTATATATAGGATGCTCCTAACAACCCGGTCAATACTGGTGTTCTATATACACAATAATGTATTTGTCAGAAAATAGAAACTTACTCTCATGTAGTATGTTTCCACAAGGTCTGGGTAAGTTAGCTTGCACTGCTCGTCTCTGGTCAGAAATTCCCCGGGCAGCTTATAACGCTTCCTCCACCTCTCAGCAATTATGGTTGTGTCATTTGTTCTCAAACAAGCCGCCTCATATGTCCTGAAAATGAAGTAATTCTCAATAAAACTCGATAGTTTCCTATGACTATCCTCCTGAGTTCCATAAATGACTAATGAAAGAAAAAACTTTTGCGAAACAGTATTATGGCCCCTTGCCGTTAAAAACGAATATAGCGAATTTATTAACTGGAAAAATGCAATCGTTGTACCAAAAGGTGATGGTACCGATTTGGGTATTCCTGAACGATCAAAGTCCCTATCATGGCGTGCAGCAAAAGTATCAGACTAAAATGGCTTGCAATATGAGCTCCAGGGCATCCACAGTTAGAGGAATGTACTTAGGCATTGTTCACGCTAAAACTAAAAAAAAACACTTCAAATTATCACGAGCATGCAGCCAAGCGCTCGTGCAGTACGCAATCATTTATGTTCATTCGTTTTCCCAATATGACTAGACACACGGCGACACTTCACGTGGCTTACTGAAAGCAACTAAGGCCTATTGCGGCAACACAAATTTGGGCATGCGGATAGCGAAACTGGGTGATCTGTAGTCATTAAAACAACGCTATCCAATTGGCTCCCCTGGAACAGAAGAGGCCATGACACCACCAGCCCTTTCCTAAAAAACCAATGATCGTGTACTGATCCGTTATATCTCCCAGTACACAAACAATGAGAGAACTACAATACATAGAAAGCTTCCAAATGTTCTAAATGCTTTCTTCCCCCAAATATCAGAAGTCAACGTCGTGTGAAGACTGGTCTGGAAACTCTAGAAGAAATTTATTCATGAAGAAAACTTTATTTTTAAAATGCTATGACCCAACCTTTTAGTTTGTACTTGGATTTAAATATCAATGTTGCATGGTATATAGTTGTGATGGTCGTCAACAAAAACTTTCTGTGACAAGATAAGATGCTTTTAACGGGGTAGAGCAAAAAAGAAAGCTCATTTTGCAGAAATTCTGGCCCCCGCGTCATTGGTTACGCGCGAAAAATCATCTTGTCCCAGACCCAATTGTTGAGAAAGATGTCAATAAAATATATATTGAAAATTTTCGAGTGTCAATTGAATCCAGGTAGCTTAAGTTGCAAGAAGGCTTTCTACCACACAATCACGTGGTTGCTTGGGAATACCGTGAAAAGAATTTTTTATTATTGGGGATACAGTGTAATCTCATGCTTTACGAAAACACGTGTTCTGTATGCAACCTTCGCAGTCACACACGTCATGTAGAGCCGACACTACTTTTGGTATCATCTTTGCCCAATCGGGTTCCATCTACATCTGTGCACTGAGGAATGAATTGCCTAATCATCATCGGTGGTTCTCGTTAGACGTCACTTTTGACTGATTTGCATCAATCTATTATAATATTTGTTGTTTAGCGTCAGAAAACCACTTATGATCATGAGAGACTCCATTGTAGAGCACTCTGGAAATTTCGACCATCGATTGTTCTTTAACATGTACCTAAATCATCGATTTGCATCAATCTGTACACAGACAGTCACACTGTATGCTAAAACGATGTTCTGACAAACTTTTACGCCAGCTCGTACTCCTTAGAAATATCTGCGCATGTCAAAAGGAAGATGTCGAGTCAGGGTCTCCAGCACAAGCTCTATCCCCCTTCAGTCTAGTGCACGAAGACGGACAGCCAAGCTTTGAATTTCGAGAAATGGACAGTATTTCAGAGGTCAGAACAGCTCAGTAGGACATTTTGACCACTGAATGTGTAAGCGAGTTTAAACTAGAAACAAAAGCAGCCATATTTAGTTTCCTGATGAACGCCTCATGAAGAAGAATATATCATTGTCTGAGATATAGCGTAGCTTTCGCATTTATTTTTATAAACGAATTAACTAAACTCCATAAAATTCTCCCACATCTGTATAACGTTTGTGGCCGGTTCAAGCACGTGCTGCATAACGTCGTGAAACAGTTCAGATTTCTATATAGTTCCGTTAGTCTGTCAGAAAAAGCTTGTTTCAATCCCATAGGCGGAAAAAGCAGGGTTTAGCAGTGAAGGTGTGTTTTTTGCCTGAAGTAAGAGCAGGCAAATGAAATAAAGTTGACCATCAGGTCTAACAGTGTTTGACATGCAGCAGGATAGCCGTATTGCGAAACTAGAACAATTTGCGGTGCGGCATTGAAATTTTCCTCCTGCAGTTTTAGAGTGCGCAGCTTATTCTGCTTGTGTGCATGCCTGACAGCACAGATATGGTGCAACTGAATGAAGACATAATTAGCATTACACTCTAGTACTCAATCCACTTACTTATCACACTGAGACTAAGACAGGCAAGTCGGAATTATTAGGAGGCTTAAGTTATACAAAAGATGAAAAGACTCAGCACGCATCGAGAGAACGTTTAGTGTAACATGCAAAAGTTGGTAAGCATATACTGTGTTTCCTAAATCTTCTGATCTCAGCGTTATCGGGAAAACGACCATGCTGCATATTAGAAACGGTGGTGGGCGTAGTGGAATCATTAGTGAGTATAGTAAAAGTTATTTTGGGTATGCCGGAACGTAGTGGAAATTATGGTGGATATGTGAAGACATGCTGCGTAGAATAGTGCACAGAAGATGGCTAAAGTGGAAACGATGGTGCGATGTAGCGCCTAGATATTGGGCAATCATTGGAGGCTCTGCCCGCAATAGCGATAACACTGGGAAGCACTAAGCAGATGTTGGGTGATGCTTATTATAGCGGGCGACGTGGTGTACTAAGCTGAGAAGCTCTGCCCACCATTGTGTCAATTCTGGGAAGCAGTAGGCAGGTGAAGGGTGGGGCTTATAATGAGGCGAATTATAAGTGGTGTACCAAGCCGGAATCTGTACACTACATGGCATACCTGATTACGATGGAATCGCTATCATATAGAAAATCTTGGGTGGGTGAATAGGACGGAAAGAATACTGGATATGGTGGAAATATAGTGGATATGGTAGAAGCTGTAGTGGTCATAATGGCTGATCGCGGCGACAGTGGAAACAATGGTGGCAGACGGTGGTGGTGGTGGTGGCAGTGCAATAGTGTTGACAGTGGGAATGCGATATTTGTTTGATGCCTTGGCAAATAGTTTTTCTCAACCTCTTGCATCCTAACAGGGCTTAACAGAGCGATTGAGAGTGTATTAAGAAGTTCAAATTGTTACTTTTTTATTTCTGAAATTCAGTAGTTGTGTCTAAAGGGACAATTAGTCATTCACACGAAGAAGCCATTGTTGCGTCAAGAATCGAAACCAAAAATTACCGCCATATACAAAGGTAATGATGCTATAGGAGCTTGCTCTGAAATCATCGAGTAACCTGTGATCCCAGCGTACTCATCTCCTACCATCATCTATAAACGCGACAACAATGTTACATGAAAATTACATACACAAGTATGAATAATTTAGATTTTCAAGTGATATATACATTTTGATGAACTTCATGCGTTCTTTATACACAAGAGATGCGGCAGCGAGTCGTCGGTGCTTCACGGTGAGCCCACTTCGCTTGGGCCTCGCTGGCTGTCACTGCAAGCTCTTTGTGGCGAGCCTCGGCTGCTGCTGCGCTGGGAGTCCGCCGCGCTGCAGATTGTTGTTGAAGGTCTTCGTATGACCGAACAGTAACAAAGAGCGTTCACTGCGTGAGCCCCCGGCGAAGAGAAAGGAAGCGCATGTGCCGAGAGTGTGTGCCACCTCGCCCTTCTACTGAGCATTCTTGATGGATGGATGGATGGATGGATGGATGGATGGATGGATGGATGGATGGATGAATGGATGGATGGATGGATGGATGGATGGATGGATGGATGGATGGATGGAGGAATGGATGGATGGATGGATGGATGGATGGGATGGATGGATGGTAGGTGTGTAGGTGATGGAGGATGGATGAATGGATGGATGGATGGATGGATGGATAAATGGATGGATGGATGGATGGATGGATGGATGGATGGATGGATGGATGGATGGATGGATGGATGGATGGATGGATCAATGGATGGATGGATGGATGGATGAATGGATGGATGGATGGATGGATGGATGGATGGATGGATGGATGCATGGATGGATATGGCTGTACGCATTAGATTGGTTGGTGGCTAGCGCCACCAAGCCATAATACCTAATGAACAAAAAACTAGATTTATTTTTTCCTTTAAATAGTGAGGTTGAAGATTGGTACTTTGCACTGAAGGGTTTAATTTTCACTCGTGCTTTGACTTTAGCCACCAATCAGATAACCTTTTTCTAGTTGATTCTACCCGTTTTAAGTCTATTTTTCCCTGCATGTTCCTAAACTCCAGTGCTTTGAAAAACTCTGCGCCATCATCCTGAACTATAGGGTGACCCTTTTACAGAACATTATGAAGTGTTCGGCAGTTTCGTCTTCCTCTCCACACGCAATGCAATCCGTGGCCCGATATGTCTTGGTTCGTAATACTCCCATCCTGGCCACAAGCAGTAGTGAACTACCCCAAGTATTATTATACATCCTTTCCTTGACAATTTCCTGCTCAAAGGTTCAATAGATCTCCAGTGCAGACTTCTTAGTCATGCCGATTCTTCACATATCGGTCTCAGCTTCTTTCACCTTCGTCTTAATTGATATTTATTTTTGGTTTAGCCCCCAGCTGTTTTCTGAGTATTTACAAGTCAATTTTCTGTTTCGCTTCCTCCATTTTGTATCGACATTCTTCACGTACAAGTAGCTGAATACCTTCCTAGCCCAACGCTCCTCCCACAATTCCCTCAATCACTTCTCAAATTCTATCTTGCTGCTAGCTTCTCTGCCCTGAAATGATGTCCGTCCCATATCACTTGTACTCCCTGATTCGGTGTATTCCCTTGAGCTCCTAAGGCAAGCCTACCTATTCCACGTTGCTTAATTTCTAATCTTGCTTGAACTTCTGATCTCAGGCACAAGAACTCATTGCCGAACGTCAGACCAGGAGCCATGACCATTTTCCATATTCCTCTCACAACATCATACCTATTGTAATTCCACAGTGCCCTGTTTTTCGTCACCGCTGC